AGGTTCCCAGTCCACCCCCGCACTCCCCACCCCCACCCCTCAGTGCCTGACCTGTGGTGGTTTGTGGTTTCAGCTGGCGTACTGTCAATCACATTTCGGCGTGGAGTTCAATGTTTCACGACTGGAGCAGTGTGCAGTGGATCAAGACAGAAGTTTGAGATACAGCAGGAGTTTTGATGCAGTTTCACTTGGAGGAGAAGAGGACGCTGCTGACGCATGATCGCTCACCAGGTTTACAATGGTACACTGTTTAACATCTGATCAACAAATAAGTTAAACTCCTACAATACTGTTCACACACAGGGGGGGGGTAGGTGGCGCGGGGGGGGGGGGGGGGGGGGGGGGGGGGTGTTACACACTGCTTCACTGTTACACCTGTTCACACTGTTACCTGTTAATCAATTTGTTACAACTCTACATCACTGTTAGCACACTGTTACACAACTGTTAACACTTGTTACCTCTAACACATGTATACAACCTGTTACTGTTAACATCTGTTACACTGTTACACACTGTTTCACAGCTGTATTAACACTGTTAACACTGTTACCACTGTTAGACACTGTTACACCTGTTAGCAACTGTTAACACTGTTAACATCTGTTAACCTGTTAACACACTGGTTGCACACTGTTGACACATGTTTAACTGTTAACACTCTACACACTGTTACTCTGTTACAACACTGTTACACACTGTTAACACTGTTACACACTGGTTACAACTGTTAACATGTTAAGACACTCTACACTGTTTACCACTGTTTCCACTGCTTAACACCTACATGTTACACACTGTTACACCGACACTGTTTACACACTGCGTTATGCACACTTCTATCACCACCTGTTAAACACTCTAACCACCGTTACAATAGTTACACTTTACACACTGTTACACACTTCAACACACTCAACTGTTACCACTCTAACACTGTTACACGTACTGTTTACACACCTTAACTACAACTTTACACACTCTCACTTTAGCACACTCATGTTACACTGACACTTCACAACGTTTACACTGTTACACCTTTACACACTTGTTATTCACACTCCTGTTACTACACTGACATACAACTTACTACAACGTTACACACTGTTCAGACTGTTACACTGTTACACACTACTTTACATGTGTACCACACTGATTCAACACTACAACACTAACACTGTTACAACTGTTTACACACTGTTCATTACACACTGTTACACACTGGTTTACACACTCTACACACTTTAGACACTGTTTACACCCACTGATACATCATGTTACACCGTTTACAACACACTGTATACCATGTGTAACATTTAGCACACTCTTACACACTCTACAACTGTACACATTTAACACCTGTTACAGCATGAACGTTCACTGTCTACAACACTGTTACCAACTGTTACACATGTCCTTTTACACACTGTTACACACCTGTTACCACAGTTACACACTCTACACACTGTTACAACTGACATGTTACACACTTAACACTCTACCTGTTACAACTGTTAACACTGTTACCAACGTGTTACACATGTACACTTGCACTGTTACACCACTCTACACACTGTTACACACTGCTTACACACTGTACATGTTTACCATTTCCACACATTCCTCGTTACACACTCAACTTTACGTTACACACTGTTACACGTTCGTTACACACTACTACATCTACATTGTATACACACTATTACCATGTTACACACTTACCTTTACCTGTTACACCACTGTTTCTACACATACAACTTACAACTACACAACTGTATCACACTGACCTCTAACATGTTACACTTACACCATGTTACACTAACACTATCACTCTGCTTACACCTCTCACGTTACACACTGTACCTACACACTTTACCATTTACATTTAATGCTCTCAGAACCTGTTAGCAACTGTTAACATGCTACACACTGTTACACACTGTACAACCTCTTACACACTTTATCACACTGTTACAGACTACTGTACACACTTTACGACACTGTCACAGCACTGTTTACACCTGTTACGTACGCTTAGCAACTGTTTACACATGTTTACACACTCCACAGCTGTTACACCTGTATACACACTGTACACATCTTACACATCTGTTACAGCCTGCTTACAATCCACTCGACGTTACACCACTTACTCTTACCCACTTTTTACCACTACGCATTAGCTCCTACACACTGTTCAAACACTACCACGTGTTACACACAGTCACACTTACACCACAACATCGTACACATGTTACACCACCACTGTCACACACTGTCACACTACTTGACACACCTCTACACATCTACACACTGTTCACACATCCAGTCCACAACTGTTACACACTACATAAAATGTCACACCTTTCCACTCTGTCACCTTGTACTGTCTTCAGACGATGCAAGGATCTAGACTCGAGGTAACGATTAATATTAGCTACTTGTCACTTGAGGGAGGGGCTATGAGTGATCAGCACCACAGCAACGAAACTGTTACTGAGATAACTACACGCATTAACTGGCTTTCCCGCTGTAATGCCAAGCATCTTCTGGTAGAGAGGATCTGTGATACTAACACAAAAACTACACAACAAACTACACAACACACACAAACAACAACAACATAACGCACTGTCTCTGTTCAAAACTGTATACTATGAAGTTGACATTAGTTGTCTGTTTAACATTTCATTATGTGGTGTGTGTAACTGCTGTGTGTGTGTGTGTGTCGTGAGCTGTGTAGTACTGTGTGTATAGTTGTGTCTGTGTCTGTTGGGTCGTGTGTCTGCTGTCTGTGTGTCTTGTCTCGTGTGTGTGTGTGTGTGATGCCAAATCTTGTTAGGTGTGTGTGTGTTGTGTGTGTGTTGTGCTGTGTGTGGTAGTGTGTGTGTGTGCTGTGGTGTGTGTAGTGAGGTCGGAGTTCCTCCAGAAGAAGTGTCTGCAGAGAAGCGTTTTTGGTTCTGGAGACGGATGTGGTCATCTGTCCCAGCTTGAAAACACATTATGGATAAATCTCTGATGAACGGAGTGGAGAACGTTCATCATGCATGCTCAAGTAACACAGCATCACACAAACACACAACACACACCACACACCACAGGAGTCCCGCTGTGTGTACACTCACACTCATGTGTCTCAGGGGTCGTCTCTGAACGTCTTTCTGGCTAACGTGATCCGTTAAAGAGCTGGAGCAGATTTTCTGTCATTATTGACTCCAAAACTGGAAGCTGCTGATGAGTAAATGACTACATTAAACATCGCGCTGAATAACGCTGCTGCTGCACACAGATGAATCATCTAGCTACATGTCATTTTAAAGGAGCTATCTTAACTCTGCTAAATGCATGCATGGCTTTACGTTCATATAGCAGTACGGAAGCATCAAAATCCTTGTCCTGAGTTAAGAAAACAAACCACCACATTGTAGTTTAGCATGCTAACCAGCTACGCTCAGACTGTCTCCTCACTTTCTGATTATATATCTGGAACTCTAATAACACGTGTACCTGCGTCTCTGTGTCTCCACTATGTTTAGTACTTAGAACTGCCTTCTGCTGTGTGCCTTTTACTCCCTTCATCAGGCAGATGCGTGGCAATATCACGTAGAATAATCTGGATGATACCACCGTCGAATAAACCGCTGAATGAGACAGCGAATCACCCTGTCTCTGAGTGGCCAACCCCTCCCAACGCTGGAGGGCTGTGACCCCGTGAGCAGGGGAAGACAAAGGCCGAGCATTCTACTGTGGAGACACGACGCGGGAAAAGGTGAACCGACACACGACCGACAAAATGACTTGATGTCACAAACAATGAGGGAGCATAAAAAACAACAACAACCAAGCGCGTTTTTTTACCTCTCACTGTGTGTGGGTGTTCCTTTCCGTCTGTGTGTTGTGTTGTTGTGTGTTTGGTGTGTGTGTGAAAATGGTGTGTGTGTGGTGTAGGTTGGTGTTGTGTGCTGTAGTGATGCCTATCCTGCTCCATGGAAACGCAGCGTTTGCAGGTCAGGTATCGTACTACGAAACTTTCCAACCTGTCTGAATCTCTTGCCGTCCTACACAGCACTACGCAGTGCAACGTGTTTCAAAAACCAAATAAGAAACGCCATAGAATAACAGGAAGTGTAATCAGGAATAACAACGAGTCGCTGTGTCCGAGCCGTCGATCTTAGTGTTTACGTTCCAGTCGTGCACGTCTTTCCACCAAAGATCCTCTATGGCTCGAATCGTCTCCGTATCCCACACGTGGGTCGATCTCACCTTCCTATCTTCCACGTCAACGCCGAGACCCTGAGGCCGTCATTCTACGTCTGGCAAGGTGGCTGGCCGAGTTGAGAGAGCACTTCCAGAAGCGTCGGTGTTCAGACCTGCCGCTCAGTGCAAAACACCTGGTATAACCTGTTTCTAATACAATCGTGAGCCTGGAATCAAAAATAGTTCACCTGTGTTGTCAGTAGTGTGTGGTTGCGCCGCAGGTTGGTGTTCCGTCGGAATGCGGTCTACAACGTAGATGACGAGCCGATGTTCACTCAGCCAGCTGATGTAAACAAGATCAAGAAGCTAGAAAACACTGTTCGCAGAATACTATACGCTGAGAAACTGATCGCAGAAGGAGCAGGAGACCCAGGCAGTAACGAGTGACGCACACAACACACGACCGCACAACACAACACCAAGTGTACTTTGTCTAGGACTGGCAGTCGAAACCTGTGTGTGAGAATTGTTATGAGTGTGAAAGGTTCGCACTGCGGTTCAGAGCAAAGAAGAGAGACGATGG